CACTCTAATCCGTGGTCATTATTGTACTATGAAAAAGAGTGAGTTCAGAACTTAGAGCTAGAATTTTGATGAAGAATAAAATAGACTAGCTTCAGTACCTTTAAAATTGACAAAAAACTGGTTTGACAATCGATTGATTTTAAAAGTTCAACCGAACTGGATCGGTCTCGATTCTGATATAGATGCATTACTTTCTCAAGTTTTCTCATACTAAACAAAATACGTCGTGAGAAAAATCTTATCTGTTTCAGTAATACCACATTTCCATGTTCATCTCTACATAAGATGAAGACGTTTATTAGTTTCAAAATTTATCACATTCTTGATTTTCTGAATATACGACACAACTAGAAAAATGAAATGTTATTATACTGCGATGCTAAATCTTGCTTAATCCTTTACCCCAAGCACTCATTCAATAGATTTAGTGTTGAGACAACTATGGGGACAGTTTCTGTAGGTGCTAATTATAACAACGGTGTATTTCAATGTGAGCAACGTCATTTTACTGTGGAGATGCAGAATGGGTGTGGGTGTGGATGTGGGTGTGTGGGTGTCGGTGTGGGTTTAATGGTGTCTTTACCTACACCTACACCCACACCCCACACCGACACCCACCCACATCCACACCCCGCACCTCCACACCCCACACCGACACCCACACCGACACCCACACCCACCCACATCCGCACCTCCACACCCCACACCCACCCACACCCACACCCTCAATTCAAACTGCTGAGAATAAATTTATTGTTTATCGACATCGATTTTTATCGTTAAATGTGTCTTCCGAATGCAGTGAATGGTTCAATATTAAACCAAATTGGTTTGATTAGGATTTTATTTTACACATATTAATTCAGAGGCTTTTTTTAAACTTTTCGTTCAATTATATTAACACCATCTCATTTCTGATCAGAAAATAATGATATAACAGAAAGAAATCTAATAGAATGATGGTACTGCATGCCTAATTCCTATTGCACAGTTCTCGGACAGCTATCTTGAAGTAGTACATATGCATTAGCGTTTTTTTGGCTTCCAAAAGAAATTCAGTTGTCTGTTGGTAGAAAACAAATAAGCATAAAGGAAATATGAACATAAACTGAGCTATAAATTAAACCATAAGATGCAATAGATAACCTATCCAATTTTTTACGTTATCCATTTTGTACTCAGACTGGACACAGTAGGCTTCTATTATGTTAGAAAATTATGACCTTGGAACTGGACTTCTATTCTATGGGGAGATTTAGCTAAAATGTTTTTCTTTGGATAGAAAGTGATTTTAACAGCAACATGTTCCAGAATTTTGTTCTCTTTGAATGCTTCCTTAAAAGATGGAAAACTATTATTGTTATGGATTGTAATCATCAGAGCATGTTCAAGAAATAATGAAAGACATTCATGAAGACATAATCTCAATTAAAAACAGTTCTTCGTCACATAGTATATTTTAAGAAACGGAATATTGTTGATGTCATTAGTTTTTTTTTTTAAAGATATGTTTTATTTAGAGTTGCAATGGCCGAAACCTCTTACGAATAACCAAAGCTTGTTCTAAACGAAGAAGTACCCATGTCATATCATGTACATTCTGTAAAAACATTGAACAGAATGGAAAAAAAAATTTTTTACTTCTCGATAAGCAACAAGAAAAGCTTGCTCTAAACGAAAAATTGTCTTCGTTGATCGATATTCTTGTCGTAATTCTTTCCAGTTTCTTGTTAATCAGTCAAGATTCTTTTTATCTTAAATTTCAAATAAAAATCTTTTCTGGTCTTCACAATGAAAAAGATCTACGCCTAATCGATCGACAGAAAACAAGAATCCAAATAAAATAAAGGATGTTCCAGAAATTCTCAAACGATTTAACAATTTACTGTTCTCTCATTCAACAAAAGCAAACTCTTTGAAACTTTAGTTGATTATTGGACATACGTAGCATTACATAACTACAAAACTTAAAGTTTATATCAACACTACCATGCACTATTTTTTTCAATTTTCCTACAATTTATTTTGGCAAAACTCGATATGAATGGGTGTGGATGTGCGTCAATAAGAGTATTAATACTTTTTCCTGATCCATATCCACACTCACATTCTTCTCAAGAAGGAAGATAAAGAGTCAATAGGGCACAATTAAGATCATCAGAAATTAGTCAATACATTCATGCGATATGCGAAATGAATCGAAAAACTATAGGCTAATGAAATTGATCTTTTACATTTTATTCAAAGTGCAACCTTTGAGAAGCTCATTCATCATTATCTTGTGAGTGTGGATCTGGTCGAGATGAAGGAATGACACACTCACACACTTCCATGACAAGATTATAAACTGCTTCACAAAATTTTAATACCGTTAATGAAATGAGAAAATAGAGAAACACTCTTATTCTTTTCAAAACGTATTTAATATCAATAAATGTTGTACAACAACTAATAGAAATGATATTTTACAGTATAAATCTTCAATTAAGTGAAAAACTAAGAAAAAAATGATGATTAAATTAAGATAATCTACATCGTTTTTAGATTCATATTATAATATTGTGAACATAATGTAAATCTTTAATGACCATACATATTGACGTCAAATGATTTTTTAATCATTGAATAAGTTCATTATTGTTAACTTGATCTTTTTCATGAAATGTCTCATCATTATTTCTTTTTAAAACCATATATAGTGTGAATACTTTTCATCACTTTGATAAATATATAATATTCGAAGATTAATCATATTCCTGACAAGAGTAATGATATTTCCACGATTATTAATTCGAATATAAAGTACTTCACATTGAATAGCTAATAATGAACGAGTTAATAGAAGACGTTCATTTTCATTGAAATAATGAACATAATTTTCTAAATCAAGTTTACGAATCGATGGATTTGTATGTTTGAATAATGACATTGGTATAGATATTGATGTATCTTGTTGAATAGTCAATGTAGTTAGATAAGGTGCTCGATCTAATATAGCTTGTAATTCTGATTCCATAGTATCATCATAGGATGATAGAGTAAGTTTCTTTAGTTTGTTTAAATTTGGAACAATTGACCAAAATCGAGCATTGATAGGGAGTTTTATACAAAGGTACGTGATATTCGATAGACAAATGTTAGATGGGATTGGATGATTGAAAAATGTGATATCACGAATATCAGTTATGCAATTATAATACTTTCGATAATCGTCATCTGAACATATGTATACTGACATAGACCTCAAGTAATTTGTTCGTATTCATCAGACTTGTTAGAGAGAGTGTTAAGAGAAATGACATATTCTCCTATAAAACATCGGACAAACCATTGTTTTTCATTAATCCAAAATGAGCTTCGAAATGAATCGAGTAAGTTCTCAGCTTGTTCTTGATTGATTTTCTGGTCATGAGGAAACCATCTCATTTTTAATCGAAATGTTTTCAGTTTCGGTAAGTAATTACGAATGATATGTTCTCATTGATGACCATCAACTAGATTATGTCTTAGGTTGATCTTTAAATGACGTAAATTAGGCATACTTTTCAAGAAATCTAGCATTGTCGAAGCTTTTATATGATAAAGAAAATACATATATAATTGAATTAATGTTGAATGTGGACATGTTCTATAATTGTTGTTAGGCAAATCCATAACTATCATCGAAAGACATTTTAAACGAGGCGTATAGTCAAACAATCGATTTATTTTATCAGATGAAAGTTCACTGTGAAATATTGTTATACGTTCAATTGATGCCGAGATAATTGTTGGTACCCTAAAATAGTATGGTCTTGTAATAATATTGCGAAAATGACAATCAGTAAGTTTTGGTAAACTCCAAATCTTATCAATAATCAATGAAAAATCAGCTTTCTGTTGAAAAATGACAATGGTTTACGTTTAAATAAGTGAGACTATTGAGTTGATGACATTTGTCTAGGAGTTCGATGAATATTTCATATGAACGAAGTTTGTGTATTGTTAATGATCGTAAACAAGTTAATTGACGAAATGATGGTATAGAAGAAATGAATAAATCATATTGTCCTATAGTTTCGTAATTTGATAGTCGAAGAGCAATGATTCGATGCGCAATCAATGGTAAATGTTGTTGACATATGAGATCGAATGTACATTTTGATACAGATTCAAAATCAAAACAATAGAAAAAATGAAAGTAGACGATGATGTTCGAAAATATTCGTGAAAAATGAGTTTGAGAGTGAAGAACCCTGAAAAATCTAGCTGCCATTTTTGTGTCAACCCGATGAGGATAGTTAGAGTTGTCGAGAACCATTCTTGGACAAGAAGATTGAAGCTTGGAGTAAATACAAGCGTTCACACTTCATTTAGTTAGCTTTTATATCTCAAAATAACTAATATTCATATGAAAAATCTAGTAAGTTATAAATAACTACAATCTTGTCCTATCGAAGAAACATCAACAATCGTTTGTTTTTCAAAAAAATAACAGTAGGTTAAATCGATTTTCTTATAATACATATAGAATTTACATTAGGTTTTTTAATAATATTGTCAAGGTAAACAATGGATTTTTTTAGTCATCAATATTTGATGACAATTTTTAAATTTCAAAATTAACTTGTACTTATTTTAATAGAAGTTTAAAAATCTTCAAAAAAAAGATAAATTAATATCGACTATGAAAATAAAAATAAACTTTTCTTTGATCATATTCTCATACATATATGGGGTATTCCATGGGATCTCTCCAGCAAAATACACAAGTATT